ACCACAAAGAGGCAAACATAGGAATCTCTATGATTCTTCTCCCGTACTGGTCCTGTTAATCAAGAGAGGTAGAAGGAGGCATTAAATGACTCTTTGCTCCTTATGTAGAAATGTAAACCAAAATACAATCTTTTTATGGCCTCACAAGTTCATCTTCATCATCATCTGATGCTCTTTCCCTCCACCCCTGGATAGCATTCTTCGACTTCCAGGCGTAAACAACAGCCAACAAGAATGAAATGAAATAAAATGTCTAGAAGATATAATCACACAGAGAAAAAGAAAATGTCACAACGTGGCACGATAAATCAATAAAAGGCATGATTTCAAGTAGAAATAACTTTAGTTAAATGCATGATGCTTAAAATATTTCAAGCTTGCAGTCAGTCAGTTCAGGGAAAGTTCAGACATCTTGATGAGGACGATTTTTATGCAGCTTATGGAGGACATTTTTACTGTTTCTGTGAATCCTCTCACAACGTGACTTTATGTGAAACTTTAAGCAAATGAAAATGCATCTATAGTCTAGATGTAAAGGATGTGCTGAGTCACAAGAGCCATCTTTATTCATTTGTTTTAAAACTTGGAGTTAAGCCAATGTGAAGTAAATGAGAGGCCACAGCTGTTCAATCTGCCATATTCTAAAGAAGGCCAGAATAGTAGAGAAAATTATGATAAGAAGCATTTTGATAAATAGCTCTTAGTGCTCTAAGGGTAAAGAGAAATGCCAGCATGTTTACCTTATAAATCTCACTCTACTGAAATAATAAAAGTTCTTTAAATGGTTTTTGTCAATTAAATCTTCTCCGATAGATTTTTTACCTGAATTTATCGAAAACTTGAAATTATTTAACTGAACCTATGTCCCTGTGTTTCTTCTTGTCCTTTAAATCCAAGGTCCACTGAAGCATTTAGGTTAACAGGCTAATCCAGACTCTGCTGCAGGTTTTCTTCTGTTAATACATCTGAGAAGAGGTTTGGTTAATGATTTGTTTTTAACTGGAGCTATGGTTCCTCACCATTGACAGCGGCAGGAGGTAAGGGCAGACTTCAGGATCACTGTCATGGTGAACTTTGTTCATGACGCTAGCATACAACAAGACGATAGCAGCCAACAGGTCCGCCAGAGCGAGCTGCACCAAGAGGTGAACCTTGAAAGAAATACAACCTCTGATCAGAAAGACCTCAACAAATATGATGCATTCCGCATTACTTTACAAAACCCTTTTTGTGTTTTGCTTTGTGTCAACCACACATTTCAAGGTATTTTATTCATATTGTTTTGGGAAGGACCAACATAAAGTAATGAATACATCTACACTGAAATATTTATTTTTCTTTTCTAACAAACATCTAAAATCTTAAGTTTGTATTAACTCTACATGAGTTGAAACTTTGTAGAAATATCTTTCTTTAAAATTACTAGTTCTTTACATTGTGACAATTTATCAGAAACCCCCTCAACCCAAAATATTAAGATCTTCATCTTAACACTTTTGTAAGGAAATATTCCAGCATACCAATTGCTAAAAAGTAGAACAGTTTAATCATAAGACTCCAGGAAAACAAATTCCACAAATATTGGTTGAAATGGCTAACTTATAGGAATTCTAAAGTAAGTTGAGGATCATTAACTCATCATTCGGGGTGATAATCGAGGTCTGGTGCTGTACTGTCTGCTGACTTGTCTCTGCATGGCTCTCTACATACTCTGTAACCTATACACCTAAAAACAGCTCATAATTAAATGTTTTTCCGTGTTGTATTTTCGTGCCCCTCCTTTGGTGATCTCTCTATTTCGATTGCTTTTCACTGTGCTCGTTGCAATTTTTGTTTATTTATCTTCTTTTTTTTTCTCTCTCTCTCTCTCTCTATATATATATATATATATATATATATATATATATATATATATATATATATATATATATATATATATATATATATATGTTAATTAACACTTTTTTTATTATGTTATATTGCCTCTTTTTTTTGTTGGTGTTGTATTCTGGAAAATCTTATCAAAAATAAAGTACAAAAAAAAAAAAAAATAGAACAGTTCCAAACAAAAGTAAAGCTTGTCAATTCAAGCACCTGAACTCACCTGCCCTCTCAGTCGTCTCCATTTTACTATAGAAACCAGCAAGACGGAAGAACTCCCAGTTACACTGCATAAAGTAATTTGTTGGAATTTTTAATAAACAAAGAACAAACCCTTGCCTCAACTACAACAATAATAATAGTAATAAGTAACTAAAGTAGAAGCTAAGGCATTAAAGCTTCTGGTTGAATAAAATGTCATAATTCCAAATGCAAACTGCCTTAGTTCAATTTGAGACTGGGTTAATTGGATAAGCCAACATAAATGTAAAAATTATTTTTGATGTAAGGAAATATTACAGGTAAAACGGGTTTGAAAGGGAAATAATACATTCTTTTTTTATAAAAATCTGTTGATTTTAATTCTATTTTGATTAAAAGCCATAATTTCACAGTGCTAAAGGAAAATACTCATTAAGATAGCCAAAAACCGATCTTACTGTAGGGGAAACTTAAGTGTGATCAAAAATGCATCAAAATAAACAAATTACATGAAGCTCAGGTGATTCTGTCATCTTATTTTTACTGAATCATCCCCAAAAAGTTAAAACACAACTAGTGTCTATCAAGTCTATCAAGTGTAAACAATAACCATCAAATGATAACCCCCTACTCGGATTAGTGGGAATAAAACAGTTTTCTTTTACCATTAAACATTGACTTTGAAAGACCTTACTGTGGGAAACTATAAGTACTGTGTGACAACTACAAGTTATGAAATTCACACAACTGCATTATGTAAGCTTACTTCTGAAATAAAAAAAAAAGTAGACATGCTGCTCTGCAGGTTTGGCAAATGTCTCTTGGTGAATTAATAGAATGACAGTCAGCTGCAAACAATGAACTGCGCTTACATGGTCATAATCCTCTCTGCAAGAATTCATTAAGTTTAATTAAAGAATATATAAGTAATAACAATACCTGAGAGAAAGCAACACTATGTACAACACAGAGAGAGCGTCAATCTGAAAAGCAAAATAAAAAATACAGTTTAAATCAATACCAGAATGCCCTTCAGACTTCCCAAATATATTCCCAACTACCTGCCGTGCGTCCAGTAAGCCACTGAAAACGTTTGTTGAATTCAGTGTAGCCATAACTCTCATTCACTACAAATGTCACTATAAAATATGTCTTCACTGCAGTCCTCTGTTAAACTGCTTCAACCTGTCACATGGCACCTTTTTATAAACTCCTGCACCTTATCACATGTTGCTGTTTTGACTCCACCTAGGCTTTTAAGTGTAGCTGGCATCACAGCATTCCTTTCAAATGGTAATCCCCACATGGAGTAATCTCATTCCCAGTGACCTTACAACAAATTTCCCGTGGAAATTCATTATTGTAAACTGATCCTGTAATTCATAAAGACAAAAACGCCTGTTTGTTTTCTCTTGCTCTTCTGACAACATTTTATGAAATAACCCAAGTCCAATAAAGAGACATCTTAACTTTAACACTTACCTCCCAATGTTGTTCTTGCATGTGTAGGCTACATGTAGACTTCATATATAAATATATATATATATATATATATATATATATATATATATATATATATATATATATATATATATATATATATATATATATATATATATATATATATATATATATATATATATATATATATATATATATATATATATATATATATATATATATATATATACCTATATATATACCTATATATATCCAGCTCCCAGGCCTCTGGTTGGACCGAGATGTCTCATGTATTTCTAGGGATCTGCTGTAACCACTCCTTCAGTTTGGTGGTCCCTGCCCCAAGGGGCCCAATAGCCGCGGGTACCACTGATGTCTTACAGGAGAACTGACTAGAGAACTGAGACTGAGCTGCACCTTAAATGCACCATGGAGCGTTATCACAGATCCTTCCTCCCAGAAGCTGTAAGACTTTGTAACGCTCACTGTTCCCAATAACCTCAATTTTGTCACATATCCATTACTGTAAAAAAGTCCACAACTGTATATTGAATAATCCAGATGCACATTATTTATATTGTAAAAACACAGTATAACACTATTGATTTGCACTGCCGACTGTTTATTCACAGTACCAATTGTTTACATATACATTTGAAATAACGTACTTAAACTGTAATATGCAATTACCTTCCACTGCACTTTAATTTAACTGTAAAAACCCTTTTTATAGTAATATCCACCTGTATAATATATTTGGTACATATCCAGCTGTAAATTTAGTTCATAACACTAGTTATCTATATATTATATTCATCTATTAGTAAGATTCTGTTTACAATGGTATTCATCTCTATACTTATTCAGTAGAAACCCATGTCCTGTATTTATAGAACCATTATTTATCCTGCACTTGCTGCTATTGCACTTCTGGTTAGACCTAAGCTGCATTTCGTTGCCTTGTACCTGTAGCTGTGTAATGACAATAAAGTTGAATCTAATCTCATCTAAAAAAAAAAGTTATGTTTATTTTTCCTAACTCTGTCACTTATTCTGTTATTTTTATACACTTTCCTAGGGTCGACATTTGTGTGGCCACTTTTGGTATAATCCTTTAAAGCTGCTGCTGTGACACCACAATTTCCCCATTGTGGGACAATAAAGGGATTTTCTATTTTATTCTCTATATAGGGACTTCTGCCTGGAAAAGCTATACATTGTTGCGCAACAGCGACGCCTAGTGGTATTTCTATTTAACCGTCAAAAATCCTGAAAAAAAAACAAACAAACAAAAAAAACGTAATACACCTTATTTTATTACTGAAGTTACTGAAATCTGTTCTCTAATTTGAAAATAAATGCCCATAAACCCTGTATACATTTAGGTTTGTATAAATATATGCTTAATAAAATCTTTGGTTGTTGTGTTAGTGGACTGATGACGCGGTGTCTTCCACGTTTACACCGGACGTGGCAGTCTGGACTAGTGAAATCACAGTAACTTCCCTCCTTCACCTCGGACCCGTTTTAAAACATATTTGGTTTCGCTGTAGCTGTGGTTTAATATCAGTTATAGTTTTATAGAGTCGGACATCCTCGGGCAGCCATGGGGCTCACCATCTCGTCCATCTTCGGTCGGCTGTTTGGGAAAAAACAGATGAGGATTTTGATGGGTGAGTGAAAGTTTGGTTTGGCTAACGGGCAGTTAGCATCGCTTCCCCGAGGAAAAAAGAGGTGAAGTCCCGCTTTAAGAGCAGCTGTTAAAGGGTAAGAGGGGGGAAAACGAGTGAAAGGCAGGCTGTGTATTGTTTCCGGAAAGAGAATGAAGTTTTCCCCCGAAAAAAGGCGTTTTACGTAAAGAGGTTTGAAACGACAGGCTTTTAATGTGGCCTCCATTAAAGAATGTTAGCAACTTTTTAATCAAAAGTAAGATGGGGGAATTTTATAAAATATGTCTCTCAAAATTCTCAGTTATTACAACAAAAAAACATGAAAGAGTTCTGTTACAGTCCTTAAAGGAAGTTTGTGGAGTTATTTTTTTTTTTTTAAGATAAAAAAAGATCTTTTATGGTAAGGAAAGTCTCTTTTATTATTTCCTTTATAGATTTTGAATAAAACATTTCAAGAATGGATTTAAAATATCCCATATTAAGTTAATTTTTTTCTTGTACCCTTGATAGTTTCATTTGGTGATCGAAATCCTGCTGACAAATACACAAACATTAAAATAAAGTTTTAAAACAAATTACACTCCTTGAACTGTCTATTATAATAGTTATATAATAAAACTAGGCCTGAAACAATTGAATCGTGATGAATCAATTATTAAAATAATCGTCAACTAATTTAGTATTTGATTAATCGTCAACTGGAGTATAAACTCTAAATTATGACTTTAGTTGACAGAGAAACCCACTTAGAGCAGTAATTATATCAAAATTGTACTATATACAATTTTGCATTAGATAAAAAAAAAAAAGTCCTTTTTTTTCTCTCATTATGCCCTATCCCAAACTCCAAGTGGAAAAGTTTTATTTAATTTCATAAAGAAAAATGTTCCTTAAATGTATTGCAGAGGATTTTTGCGAGTTTTTTAAAAGACCCGCCCTCTCCTCTAAAAAAAAAAATGCACATGCACAACCCTGTGTCCGCTTCCCATAGGGAACGCCTATTAAAAGTGTGCACAAGCCCATTCCTCATGCACGCTCTGTTTAAAAGTTGCTGTTCTCATAGCTCATGCGAGCTTACCACGCCCGCACGTCCACCGTAACCCCTCAATCGCTATATAGAGAGGGGACTCTATAGTGAACTTTATAATGAACTCAGGTAACTTACCTTTTCCATAATTGATCACTTCTTTTTTCTCCCCTTTGGTCACGCAAGTCCTCCTCCACTGTGTGGTACCTACACTATCTTTATTAGTCGCCGCTGTTGGGTAGGAATAGCCTATGGCGACATAGAATAGCTCTCTGTGCAAAGCATTCTGGGATATATCTGCCTCTTCTGAGGCCTTTCTGTTCTTCTCGTACACTTCGTAGACACCTATTCTCTTACGACCCTCGGCCATTTTCAAAGAACCATGGGGAGAATATTGAGGTTCACCGAAGCTCACCACAGATATACGGCTGAAAGTGCGCATGCGCAGAAAACTATAGCTAACTGGGGACGAGCATTTAGGACGGCCTTACGTAAACATATCACCAGAATTACTGACAAATAGGGGGAGCACTTATTTTGATGATCCCCCCTGGAAATAAAAGATCGTCCTCTATACCTTTAAGGAACCTTTGGCTCTCCGATTATTAATCTAAAAAAATAATTAACAGTTTAATCGATTTGCAACATACTTGTTAGTTGCAGCTCTAAATAAAACTTTAACTTTTTCATGTCATATAATGTCAAATCTGTTTGCATTTCATGATTAGTTAAAGGAGAAAATGAACATGAAAAAATGTCCAAAGTTTAGTTGGAGAAAAAGGCTTAAAGGTTTCTATTTTGTTTTGTTTTTTTTTGGAGGGGAAGCTGTTTTACCAACCGTTACCCTAAAATGCAACATGGCTCTCTAGCATAGGTTCTTATTCAAATAATCCTGAACATTTGAAGGAAGCTACCCTTAAATTTTTTTTCCAGTCTACAGCAGATTGACATGTTCACCTCGTTTTTTAATAGCATTGTATAACTTATTTTATTCCTTATTTCAGTTTAAAAGCTATTCTTGTAATTAATTGAAATCCAAATTAGTTGGATCCAGATACAAAATAGTCACGAATTAAGCTTTAAACCATAATCTAGTTTGCATTGGACAGTGATGTACAAAGAGGTCGGTAAATATTTACAGAGAAAATGGAGGTAGGGAGGAGTGGTGCACCATTATTTATCTTTCTGTATGAAACGCTTAGAGTACGTAAAGCATCTCTGATCAGAGTAAATACTTATCAGAGAAGTAAACTAAAATTTGGGAACCAATTGTCTAAATTAATCATTTAATCAGTTTGGAATTCAGTATTTTTGTCTAAAGGAAAAAAAATGCTAATTAAAACAGCTGTTAAGGAGGAGCTTATCTTAGACCAAAGAAACAGTTAAGATGATTTCGTAACAATGTTGATTCATGGTTGGTGGGATATTAAGATAATAAAACTAACAGCTGCATAAGACGGTTTTATCAAAATGTCTGCAAACTAAAACTCTGAGTTCCTCAAAAAGTGACAGTTTGAACTATGAGTAAAGAACTGTTCTGTTGTCCTGTATCTCTAAAAGGAAAACTGTTTAACTAAGATAGTAGGGTACACAAACAGTATTACTTTGAATTAAGTAGTTGCAGTCTTTTACGATTAGGACAGGAAATATCCATACTTTGTACAGCCGTACAGCGTTTCTCCTTTGTTGATCAGGTTATGAGTTGTTCCTTAAATAACTTGTCATGTTTCATCTCCTCTCCTCAGTTGGATTAGATGCTGCTGGAAAAACAACCATTCTGTACAAACTGAAGCTTGGTGAAATCGTGACCACTATCCCAACCATAGGTAAGACGTTTATTTGAAACTAATCTCTTTATTTCAAGATCCTTTTTTTAGTGTTAATTATTTTAATAGATATATATTTTTTAATCTGTCCCCTTTTTCTTCAAGGTTTCAATGTGGAGACGGTAGAATACAAAAATATCAGCTTCACTGTTTGGGATGTTGGCGGCCAAGACAAGATCAGACCTCTGTGGAGGCATTACTTCCAGAACACGCAGGTATGAGAACAACATTGGTTCAGATTCACAAAGGAAACCCTTCTATGGAAGAACTCTATTATTTATTTTTAACTGTGGGGATTTCTTATAGTGCAGTGACTAAACTGTTTAACGCTTTGAGTAGTTCCTTTCTTTCTTTCTTTCCTTCTTTCTCTTTATAGTTTCTTTCATTGTTTCTCTTCCTGTTACTGTCTTAAGGGGATGTTAAGTTAGTTCTTTTTTTAACTTTGTATTTGGGAATGAAAAGATAACACAGATATGAAATAATAAATTATATTAAAGCAGGGAATCTAGTTACTGACTGGATAACTTATGGTAAAATAATGGAGACACTCAAAAAGGTGTAAAATATAGTATCACCTTATAATTGAATTATTTTAAACGCATTCCCTCACCAACCCGATTCTGCGAATAGCATCAATATGAGTCTTCGCTCGAAAAAAGCCTTTGATTGCTTATTTAAAAGGAATTAAACAGCAAAGATTACATAAGTAATCAAAAAAAGACAAACATGGATTTTATATTAAAAAAAAAGTTCCCTTTCTGGTGTCTAAACATTCACTTTAAATGTCCAGACTGAAAAATAGAAAAAAAGACAAAAAAAAAGACTAAACATGAGTTTAATGCTATTTTGATAAATTATCTAAATATATCTATTACAAAATACTAAACATTTCTATCATAATGCCACTTCTATTCTTTTTTTTAAATTATTTCTTAGGGGCTCATCTTTGTAGTGGACAGTAATGACAGAGAAAGAGTGACTGAGTCTGCAGAGGAGCTGTCTAAAATGGTATGTATTTAAAAAAAAAAGTTTTTGTATGTTTCAAAAATTACATTAAATTCTCTTGAATATTTCTTTCCTTGCTGGAAAAACCCAGAAGTTTCCCATCTGTGAAGCAATGAAATATTATTGTAGTCCATTTTATTTTACACCTGATATTATGACTATCACTGTGAGCTAAAGTCATCCAGAAATTCCTTGGGAGTTACTAGAAACACTTGTTTGACATTGTCATTCTTAGAAGAGGTTCGGCCAGTTTACTAGAGGCAGGAATTCACAGGAGAATAAATGTCTAATAGATGAGGACAGTAGCAGTGATTACAGCAGTTTAGGATTCTTTTTAGCCATTAGTGAGTTTCATTTATCTTTAATTTCTCATCTGCAAATCCCTGAGGACTTTGCTACTGATAAAAAATAACCTGCATGTTCATTTGTGGAAGCAATTTTACATTACTTTTTAGTTTGATGCGCTCTATAAATGGGACAAAAATGCAAATTTTTAGTTCTTTTTTTTTTTTTTTTTTTTTAGTATACTTGTGAACCTGAATCAAAACATTATTTGTTGATTTTGACTTTCAGCTGATTAAAATCAGTATCTGTGTTTTCATGCCTCATAAGTCACATCTATCTTCTTTATGTGCAGCTTCAGGAGGATGAGCTCAGAGATGCTGTTTTGCTGGTATTTGCCAATAAACAGGACCTTCCCAACGCCTTAACAGTCAGTGAACTGGCAGACAGACTTGGATTGCACGGCCTTCGCAGCAGAACTGTGAGTAACTTGAATAAAACAAAAATCTTACCGCGCTCGCTGTTGAATTGCGGACCTTGTTGGGATGCAAAACTTCCCATCCTGACAGTCAGGTGTGCTTCGTCTCCACAGTGGCACATCGAGTCCACCTGCGCCACCCAGGGCACCGGGCTGTATGAAGGACTGGACTGGCTGTCCAAAGAGCTGTCGAAGAACTAATGAAGGATGGACTAGAGGGCAGACTGAGACTGATCATCACAAGACATAAAGGAAAAACATGAACATTCAATCCAGAACCAGTTTGTTTTATAGCACCAGTGTTTACAGAAAGAACCAGGCTGTTGGACGGTTAGCTCAGCTATAACACCTTCAGTGTTGTGCTCCTTGTTCTTCATGTTAAGTAATGCTCCTTTTTTGTGTAGTCTCTACTTTTTGCACTCTTGCATTTACATTTCCTGTTTTATGGTGAAAAAGTGATTTCGTTTAAAGATTTCAGAAAACAATATGCATTCATAAATTTGGGATCTTTGGTAAAAGTCAAATGGTAGACCCTCCCCCACAAGCTGATAATCACCATACCCTCTGTTGTAATTGTATTTCAAGAAGCTTGATTTATTTTTGTTTTATGGATCTTTTGTACTTCCATGACTGCTTTTTTTTTTCTCTGTAGTTTCTGTGGCTTGATAATCTAAAATGATTTGCTTATAGTACAGAACTTAAAAGGAACAGGATCGCCTTCTTGTCCTCTTTTGGCACAAACTCCAGTTATTAATTTCCTTATAGCCTTATTATTAAAGCTCTTCCTGTTGATCTATTTATGTCTTCATACTTTTCAAAGATAAAGCTATGAAACTGTCTGCTTTGTGTTGCGTTACATGCTGTGTTTCAGCAGAACCACGCCACTGTGAGTATAGACTGTCCTACAAATTGTCTTCCTCATAAATCTGGATTTAAACATGTTTAATTATCTGAGTTTATATCTGTGTGCTTTGTTTTGCATTTAAAAAACAGCGAAGGCTTTCTGATGACTAACAAAGCAGTTTCAGTCAGAAGGAGGAAGGAAGTGTTGGTAACACAGGACCTGGGGCAATGAAACACAATGAAGTTCCAAATAGTTTTCCCCTTTTTTAATTCAGTAACCCACAATGTTGACTTTAATTTACTATGTAACAAACACTGTAAAGTATTAATTACTTCCCCTTCTTTTAAATAAAACACATACGGACCTATCATTTTCTTAGTGTACATTCCAGCTTTGAGATATTCACTATGTGTCTAAAAAAGCTCTGAATAAAGCCACTGTTACAATAACCTGTTCAGTCTTTTTAATGATTATACTCTTTTGTTAGTTCCTGAAAGAGGAATTTCAGTGTCTTCGTAAAATGACATTTGTTACTGGAAGGCTCTCTGAATAAAGATCATGTTCTTTCTGATGCTTACACTCATTTTCAACCCAAATTTCCTTTCATCACTTCTGCCCTAAATCATTTCTTCCTCTTGAAATTATTTTAACTGTTAACGACACTAAAAGTGAATAAAAGTAATATGACGATTTTAAATTAGCGCAGCCTTTGTTCTGACCCGAATCTGTGGCGGGAGATAAAGATGAGGGTCATGGAAAGAGGCCCTCCAACTTCAGATTTTGAGTTGATCAAACTGTAAAAAAATCAACAGTTTTTGTACCAATTACTAGGGGGCTAAATTTTTTTTAAATATTAATGTTCAAATTAAATCCTTTTATAAAGTCAATTATTTTGTTCTGCCCTAATTAATATCAGGAATAAACTTTTTGTTTACTGAGCATATTTTAAGTACTAAAACTGATAAGAAAAAATATTGGGCATTGCTGTACTTTTTGAATAATTTCACATCAAAATATAAGTGAATAATGAGATTTCTATTTCAAAGAGATCATATCTCTTGACATGCAGATGTATCGTTTTTTTTATACTTTCTATTAAAATTCATAAAACCTTTTATAAAATTAAAAATAAAATCAAAACATGAAGCTGAAATAAATAGAAAGCACTACATTCAAGCTTTTATTGAAACAGGTGAAATTTTATTTGAAAGTGATAAAAAAAAACTTAAAATTTAATTAAACAGATTATTTTCACATTCATAAAACCAATGGTTGTTCATAGCCATAGCTAAAAACTGTAAATGTGAATTAAAAAAAATCTTAAGTATCCTTTAAAGGGGAAATGTCCCAGCTAAACCACTCTTACTCCCGTGGAATCGGTTGTTTTAAGTTGTTTTTCTGCTGCATAACACACCTGTTGTTACACATACATGATTTTGCTTTGTAATTTCACAGAAGTCTTGTTTGTGTCTATAAAATTCCTTAGAGATTAACATGAAAATGCATGCCTGTTTGTTTCCAATGGATGAGCTGAACTATATATAATATATATATATATATATATAAATGTCTTGTAATCCACTTATAACCTTGTGCATTTGATATTGTTAAGATATCCACTGATACCTTTTTTTTTTTTTTTTTTGCCCCCTTTTCTGTGTCTACGGTGCAAAAACTAACTAGAAATAAGTATTTACCCTCAATCTGAGTAGGTGAATAAGATGATTTACCAATGGAGTGAGCATTTTTTTATTCTTAAAATAAGATAATGTAAAAAAATATGCACTTGAAATAAGAGAATGCAATCATATTTTCTCTTTTTAATCTAAATTGTCTCGTTTCATTGGCAACGTATCTCACTAACCTCCTAAATTCAAATAAAATGCACAAATTTTAAGAAAGAAATACTTATGATGGAAAGAAATACTGGCAATAAGAATAATTGTCTAGATGCCAAAGAGAGTCCAACAGATTTTGCTTTCACAAGTGGAGCAGTACAGCTATCGCAATAGTGTTCCACTTGATTTATGCATATAAATAGCTTTATTATAATTCATGCAGGGAGTATTACAGATACAGACACTGCAATGTAAGTAGAACAGGAAAGGAAAACAGAAAAAAAGGAGAAAAGATGAAAGAAATAGGAGATAATAGGGGAGAAAAAAGGGAGAAATACCTATTTAGATTTGAAGTTTTTTGCAGTGTACTCCATATTCTCCATCAGCTTACTCCTTTCTATCATTCATATCTTACAGAATTTAATCTCATAATTTCCAAGCTGCTCCTGCAAAGTAGAAGCTGTGTCCAGAGATAATCCTTTAATTGTAAACTTTTAAAACAATTCAAATAATCCAGGGTTATAAAATCTGACATAACGTCTGTCTCAATCTCTCCCCAACAAGCAGGTGCAACAGCTTTCATTGTTGTTTTTGTTTTTTATTATTCCTTGGGGCATTGAAATTTGACCAGGTTGTGTGAGGCTGTTGATAATAAGTCAATTTGGAAGCATTACAGGCAATGCAAAAGCATGTATGGAGTCACGGTTGTTTGTGAGTAATTAGGTCATTTGGAGAGGTGAAGGAATAAGCGTTGTATAATTGGCTTGCTACAGTGCATGAATGTCTGTTCTAATGTAATTATGACAGCTAATCAGGCTTAGTGGAGCTGGGTCATCTCTCAGTTTTGTTAGTGTATGAGCAGAGAAGGTACAGAGCTTTTCCATATTTTATGTGTTTATTGCTGGGAAACAATTTAAATGGGATTAACAACTTCAGTGTCCATCGTAATAGCAAAGGTAAGTCCTTAAATTTATTTTTTTACTTAGCTTTTATATAATTTTGCCTTTTTGTTGGGTTTAATCAGACATAATTTAGAGACCTTGAGAAGTTATCCTTTATGCAATGACGTAAAAGTAATCATGCCTCTTAAACTTTTTTACATTTTGTCATATATCTTACAAGCTAGTAGAAAGAAGAGCATAATCGTAAAGGGAAAGAAGTCTAAAATATGTGACTTACTGTCAGTCTACGTCACTTGATGAAAAGCTTTGAAGAAAATCCCTCTGGAACTTCTGACAGATCTTCTTCTAGCTTTTACTTGTGTTTTTATCAGCTCTGATCAACTGTCCCTGATGGAGAAAAATATCCCCACAGCTTGATTCTGCCATCTCCATGTTTTACCAAGAAATACTAAGGCTGAATATAATTGTTAGCTTTCTGTCACACATAATGTGATCCAAACAAACCAAAAAGTATAATTTTATAATAATGGATTGCCTTACCTTTCATGTGTTTACTGCACACCTAAACAGACTAAAAAACAAAAAAAAAATACTTTCAAATTGCTTTCATTCAACAGAGTCCTCTTAGTCTCTTTGTGATGTAAATTGAGGGATACAAATATTTTTGCAAGGCACTGTATTGAAGGCTGGTCCTATGTTTGCAGGATGATGCCAAGTCTGAGCCCACATTTACCAGTTCCAAGTCCATCCTACTCTCAGGTGAGGGAGAACCTGGTGAGAGCCATCCCACCCAAGCTCCTCTGTCTGCTGGCCTGTGGAGGAAAAGATTGTCGCTATGAGGGACCAGAATGCTGGAAATCAAACCAACAAGTCATTCGAGGCATTTTTTCCTCCTGGTGAAAAGTTGTAACTGCAATATGACAGATGTTTTGGAGCTGTTAATTAAAACTTATTGACTGTAAATCTGGTTTGTTCTAGGGTGACGGATGAAATTATAGCAATGGCTCGTCCATCCAATTATCTAATCAAGAAGTACAATATCATAGAGCAATTTCAGAGGTAATTACTTTACTAACTTCTATGTGACCGTTTTCCTTCGGGACACATGCATAACAAGTCACCAACCATCTTTGCTCCCAGGTTGAAGATTAAGTCGATCATCAACACGCAACTTCCAGGAGAGCATGCTCATTGTGGACCTCCACTAGACCTTGAGAGTGGTTTCACATACTCTCCGCAGACCTTCATGGAAAATAAAAGTGAGAGATTATTGCAGATTAAGAGGCAGACATTACTAATGATAAAATGTGTGCATGAAATGTTGTGGGGTTGTCACAGCTAATATGCATCTTCAACACTAAAGGCTGATTTCTACTTTGAAACTAGGTCATCTGCGTAGGTGTCGCAGTGAACAAAAAGACGTCCCCGCCCCCTCCTCAGACACTCTGCTGAACCTCTCCCAAATTGTAGCTGACCGCAAACAGTGCCGTAGACAGGAGGCTGGCTTGTTTTGTTATTATGACCGAAATTGCGGAAAACAACTCGTGAAGTTGGACCAGCTAGAAGAGCGAGGTGTGCGAGAACACTGGGAACCCTTTTTCCACCTGGATCCCAGCTATTTTTCGCCTTAATGTCCCTCTGTTGACAAACTCGCCCCCTCTTCCTCACTCGCGGACCACGCGCTAGCTGTAGGCATAGATCTAAAATGTCTGCGTCAAGCTCACTGCAACACACTGCTGCAGGAGTATAACCAGCCCTTAAGGCCATCAAAGACAATTCACCGACTGCAAACTGGGAAGGTGATTCCCCTCCCCAAGAAGGGGGACTAGAGGTTGTGTTCTAACTACAGGGGGTTCACAATCCTAAGTCTCCCAGGGCAGGCCTATGCATGGGTGCTGACAGACTCCTCTCTGAGAGGAAGAGAGTTCAACCTATTAACCTCGGCTCCAGGAGAAGCTCCATACCCTCTGCAAGGTGCTTGAGGGTTCATTGGAGTTTCCCAAACTGCTCTGTCTGTGTTTGCCGACCTAAGGAGACGGGTTTTCAGTTGATTCAGAGGCCCTTTGGTCAATCTGGTTAATTTACAAATGGAACAGGTATTTGGTCTGCATTAACTTAGACCTGTCCCGGTGCACGTTTGATTGCAGCAGAAGTGCACCATATCCTTAAGGTCCTTGTCACAACCTTTATTGATAGGAGTTCTAGGTTGAGCCAGAGAGGGTCTGGTTTTTGCAGATGATATATTTCTGCTGGCTGCCTTGATGGATGTCAAACATTAACTTTGCATGTAAACCAGCTGCTTTTGCTGCTTCAATTGCATGTGGAAGGAAAGTAGCATTAGAGATAGTGTGAAGAGACTGGTCCTCCACATTAAGAGGAGTCACCTGAGGTGGCTCTGACATCTTTAGCGGTTGTCCCCTGGATGTTTGGACACCCCAATAAGAAGAGGTCCAGGTGATGGCTCAGGACATGCTGGAGGGACTATGTCTCTCAGCTGGCTTGGGGACACCTCAGGATTCTCCTAGCAGGTGTCTGGGGAGAGAGAAGTCTGAAAGTCTATTGCTGGGACTGCTGAGCCCTCAGCCTAGTCCTAGATAAGTGGAAGATAGCGAGGACGAGTGAGAAAGTGTGAATGCAGCAGGGCTTGTTCTTTATGTGTTAGAGTGAGGGAAATATTTGTATGGATATCTTGTTAATGTAATGCATTATTCCCACATGAGCCAGACACAATTTCACATCAAATGACTGTAAATAAACACAAGATCTACACAAGAATTCTGATTTATTTCCAGTTTACTTTTACAACTTTGGGATGCCAGATTTTGGAGTGTCGTCTCTTGTTGGAATCATCGATGGGGTGAAGGTTTTGGCCTTTGCAGTGAAGGAAGGACGTGTAGCTGTTCACTGTCATGCTGGCCTGGGCAGGACAGGTAAAACTGATCATTGTTCTCTCTGGGAAATTTACACTCAGTCCTGCTATTTTATTCACATGGTTATGGTTTAACCACAGACTTTAATGTATTTTATTTAGATTTCATGTGACAGATCAACAGAAAATAGCGCATAGCTGTGAAACAGGTGGAAAAGTAGAGTGGTTGTTTTTTTAAAAAGCATATAAAAATATTAAAAGTTCGCTCTGTGTTTGTATTCAGTCCTTCTGAGTCAATACTGTGTAGAAATACTTACCACTTCAATACATCTGGAGACTGAATCTTTCCCTTAAAAAATAAATCAGACTTATATTAGCTTGATTTTCAAGTCTTGCATTATTTTCTTTATTTCAAACTTCAAACTAAATAAAAGTTTGGGCTTCATCGAAACCATTTGGTTGCAGGCTTATTTACGATCATTCATTGTTTTACTAGAAAGTGAACAACTACTCCAGTTTCAGGTCTTATTTATGACGGGTCTTTTTAAAAAGTTTTCCAAACTCTATACATATCATCACCTCTGACTGTCTTTCCTAGCAAAAAAAAAAAAAAAAAAAGCATTATTCAAGCACCACCTTGTTTTATCATGCCACTGAAATTTTGGGTTATTGTGCAGTTAGTTTTGTGCAGCACATAATATATTGCATGTTGGCCAAAAAAATTTAATTTGGACTCAGAGTACATTCTCCACCTGTTCACTGTTTTCTGCATGGCTTGTGGCAAACACATCTTCTCATGGCTTTTATTCAGCAATTGCATTCTTCTTGCCACTCTTCCATTAAGGCCACATTTGTAGAGTAGATTATTTGTCCTGCTACAGGTAATAGATTCTGCCACCTGACCTGCAAATATAACTCCTTCAAAGTTACTTGGCTGATTCTCTAATTAATGAGAAAAGAGCTTCTCAATCTAAATAAACAGCAAAGTTCTTGGTAAACTTGCAGTTATTTTTCCCTGTTCAGAGGATCGACTGTTTTGTGGGATTTTACAGATTTGTCTAAAAATCCCTGCAATGTTATCAGTGACCTGACTCCTTGGTATTCATATTGTTTTCTAAAACCCACTAAGGTCTTCACAGAATGAAAATATTTATACTTCATATTACACACAGGTTACTTCTGAAAAGATGCAAAATGATTTTATTTCAGGATACATGAGTAAAGGGGGACTAATGCAAATACATGCCATACTATTTGAATTTTGACCATAAAAATCATGTGTTATTTTCATTATATTTTGCACTTTATCAAATGAAGTCTGTTGTTATACTTAGACCAAATGCACAAAAGTTCAAAGTGTGTTACTACAAGGCAGTGTGTAACAATAATTGAATGTCTACATTCCTAACTGTCTGTTGATGTTGTGTTTTCTCTTTTGAAAGGTGTCCTCATAGCCTGTTACCTTATCTACACCCTGCGTATAAGTCCCAGTGAGGCAGTCCACTATGTTCGCATTAAAAGGCCCCGTTCTATCCAGACCCGGTCACAGATAAACCAGGTGTTTGACTTCGCTCGCCTGCTCGGCACGCAGCTCGCTCAGTATCCAGACCTCAGCCTGCGCCACGGAGCCCCTTTTACCCTCCAGCATTATTTAAACCGACAAGCTCTGCTGCTTCATGGCCAGGAGGCGCGAAGACTCAGACATACTCCCAAGGTTGGGACTTTGTAATGTCTATCATCATGCATCTCTACCATGTGTCACAATTCGCCTGCATATGCTTTTTGGCCCAATTTGATCAGGTGCTGTACCTCCTATGTGTGCGCCTCTCCTGTCTGGCTCTGGGTCTGTCTTCTCCTCCAGAGGTCCATGCTGAGCTGGAGAAGAGAACAGCTTTGAGGGCTCTGAGCAGAGCTGTGAGAGAGACTCTTGTGTCCAGGCAGTACTTGCCTTTGTTAAATGAAGGCCGTAAAGGCTCTTGGACCGGCTCAGGGTCAGTGTCCTCCTGGGATGAGCCTCTGGGGTTTTTAGAGAGGAAGCGTGAGTGTTTGCTGGATAAACGCAGCTACAGTGAATCCGATGTTACCAGGATCAGAGTTTATGAGGCGAGATGCATTTTTAATTGCATATGTTTCTCTGTACATTCAGACTAACTGAAGGTGATAATCACTCTGTTACCTTCTCTTTGAAAGGACCAGGAGCCAAGCTCGTATTGCAATACAGCATTTGGAGATGAGAAGCACTGGTGCTTGCAGGATCTGATGTGGGATGATTCCAGAGTAGTTAATCCAGTTTTTGGCACATCACTGTATCCCAAAAAAGAATTTTGCATGTCCAACACCGAGGTGACAAACTTGAGAACAAGTAACAACAGCATCAAAATGTTTAAAAGCTCAAATAAAAAAGATTTTCTAAAATGCAGCTCCAACCTGGAGGTAAGGTATTTTTCCTCAGAAAGAGAATCTGATGTTATAGACAGTTTGTCTGCAATGCAGTAAACTTTCATGATTTTCTAATATAAAGTTACACAGAAACCTACACATCCCTGGCCCAACATCGATGGCCCGAGCGGTAGCCAAAGCAATGGCAGAACAAGGTCCTCCAGGTGAAACTGTTCTGCAGAGGTCAGCTCTGCTGCAGGTAAAAACAAAATCTAAACATTTAACAATAACCGTATAACAATAATAATAATTTAATGTTTCAATGTATTTACTCTCTTATGTTTTCGAAAGGAGGAACTAAACAGCAGTGAATGCGGCTGGGCCCTGCTGGTCACCGAGTCAGATCCTCATGTCCTTTCTTGTCTCTTGTGGACCTGGTTGGAAAGGTTAAGGGTTAGTAGCATTAAATTAACAGCTGGTTATGCCACTGTGCATTACTTTTTAGAACCTTTGTTGAATAGCTGGGCCTCTTCTGTTTCCTCTTTGTCATCCAGGACCCTGTTTTGTCCAGTGAGGATATAGAAAAGTTAAAAATGGGAAAGAACAAAAAGCCTCTCAGCGTCCTCAAGAAGGTAAAATATCAGACCCAGAATGGCTGTGATTCCTATAAATGTGTGAATGTTTTCAGCACAGTTTTTTGTTTTGTTTTATACTTACAGCCACAAAGGCACACAATCTATTGTCTGTTGAATTGTGTGAGCACAGTGTTCAGCCTTTGTCCACACAGAGAGGATGCTGTCCTGCATCGTCTTGCGTGTGCACTAACAAGGGTAAGATAAGAAGATACTAAGAGTAAATCTATTTTCCTTAATACAAATGCTATAAAACTGATGAGATAATTCTTACCCAACAGCGTCCTCAAGAGGAATATGGAGTCCTAAATCCCTTGATTAAAGTCCTGAAGGCCAGTTTGACAGAAAGCTTCCACACCCACAGACACATTACGAGGGCCTGCAGCATCAACGCTACCCTTTGAGACCTTTAAATGAAAATAAAAATGCTTACAACTGAATGGATTTCATCTGGGTCCACAAAAGCAATTAAGAAAATATTTCTGTAAAACAACTGAATAAAGATGTGAATTTCATATAATTTACTTGGTTGTACATTGTCACTGTCTATGAATTTAAAGGAAACTACTGTACTTGAGAAATCAATAATGTTTTATACCTAAAAAAACCACACTACTTATTTTGGGGAGGGGTTAGAGCAGCTTTTAAAGTAAAATATAGTAATCATGTCTTTATTGTGAAGGCTATAATAAAGTATGGAAATACAGAAATCCTTACAAAGAAGTTTTTATTAAAGGATACCAGACACAGCAAGAATGTTATACTTGGATCTTAAAGTCATATCGTTTTTTTTTTTTGTTTCATAGCAGTTTTCATGTAAACAAAGTTTCAATCCATCCATCCATCCATCCATCCATCCATCCATCCATCCATCCATCCATCCATCCATCCATCCATCCATCCATCCATCCATCCATCCATCCATCCATCCATCCATCCATCCATCCATCTCTCCCATGAAGTAACAAAAGAAAAACTCATATTATGACCATTCTTAAAAACGCTAAAAAGATGTCACCAAAACTAGTAACTTCTTGAGGTCACGGAATGTCATATTACAACTATGAATTATTAAGTTTGGATTTAAATAGGGTGACATTTTGGTTTTTGTTTTCTTTTAATGGTAAGCCTAAGTTCAACAACAATTGGAACAGTAGCCAGCCTCTGGCTGATTCAGCCTTTCTTAACTAATAACTAATTTACAGAGTCTGTGTTGAACTTGTGAATGATTTATTTTCCTGTTCATAAAATTCCTTCACCCTTCTAGAAAAAAAAAAAAAACACTAAACTAAAACCCTGAGCACATATTGAGAACGGCTGTTAAAGAGTCTTTTCCATGACAATGTTGTCATGACGACCATGTTGAGCTACCAACAATCTGTGTTTGGGTACACTGGGCTTGCTAAGTTTTGAAGCTAAAGCATGAAACACACGCATGAAGCTGGATCGAGAAACTTACAAGGTAAAATACTTAATCTCTTGGTTAAAGTTTCTGACATTTAATCTTTCATTACATTACATATAGTGTAACTTTACTAAAATAACAACATTGCATTTCTGAGAAGCAAACTGCCAGAGAAGTCATGTTTGCTTCTCTGGTCTAGGAAACTGGGTGTTTTTAATGTCTTATTTATTAAACATTTGTACTTCTTTTATTTGTAAATCTCTAAAATTACTATATTTGACTTTGCCTTTGTAAAAAATGTTTTCAATCAAAGATTTAATAAATCTTTGCTGAAAATGTGACTGTTTAAAAGTGCTTTGTTTCATTAATATGGTTATCAAAAGAAAGAAGGGAAGCAAACGTATCAGAGCAAAAAAAGAAAAAAATGTAAATGAGACAAACATAAAACTTACAGATTTCTTTAACCATAAAAAAACTTTGCAAAGCAGGGAACAGCTTCTAAGACTGAAAGCTAAATTTACTATATATAAAAACATTTATTCTTCTTCATCCTGAGACTGTAAACATTATGAAACAATGTTTGTTTCTGACATATTTAATCTTTTTATACTTTTTAGTCACAGCGGATGTTTCAGATCATAAAATGAATTTCTAAGTCAGAAAAATATAACCTGATAGAGATTTTATATAACTATTTTCTTTATAAAAAAACATAGAAACACATGGCCCTATGTAAAATTTATAATATATAAAGTTCTTCTTAATTGCCTAATCCTACGAATTGAGTAAGATGATGCAGCATTATTTAAACACTATTTTCAATTAAAAGATGATATCTAAAATAGAAAACTGATTTGTCAGGGGGAAATATTTGGAGAAGAGCTGATAAAGAAAATTACAGATTGATTGTTAATCTCCTTTCTCAAAGCAAACTCTAATGATGAGCTTTGGGTTGGATCTTGGAGGCCCCACAGACCAAGGGGGCCTATAGCTGCTCTCTATGGGAGTCCAGGGCCCAAATATGCCCTTCCAGGGCTCATAGGTGAGAGTAACATTATCTATTTTATCAACTCAGATACGATTGAGTTATTAAAAGTTAACACGCTCTGTCTTTTGTCCGTAAAGGTGCTTCTCAACATGATCCTACCAAATATAAAGCACCCATGTTCTCCTTTGGTGCTCGGCGTGAGGAAGTGATCACAAACTGCTCTCCTGGACCAAGATATCAAATCCCCCAAAATATTACCAGGAAGGGCAAAAGTGGAACACCTGCGTTTAGTCTTCTCGGTCGACCAAAGCAGCTACAACTGTCAATAGTACCAGGACCAGGTCAGCAGAGCAAGTTTAAGATGTAATTTCAGATATAATGAGTACTGAATATATCAATTTACAACATGTTAACGTGTCAGTTGGGTCTTTTTTTTAACTTATTTTGGAGTACTGAATATATCAATTTACAACATGTTAACGTGTCAGTTGGGTCTTTTTTCAACTTATTTTGGAGCCTTACAGGCCAATATTCCCCAGAGCGTTCTGGAAAGATAACCACCCGTTCAGCTCCTGCTTATTCTCTGAGTGGGAGAAGAAAAGACCGTAGTAACTCCCAAACACCAGGTAGGATATATTTAAATTATGGTTTTAACTTTAAGTAGAAAACACCATAGGAAGCATACAAATAAACTATATATAACTAATACTGCAGGTCCAGACGCCTACACGCTGCCACCCATGCTGGGCTGTAAAACTGTAGTTGCACCTTCGGCACCCAACTACACACTTCAAGGCCGCAGTAAAACCACAAGCTTTAATGAAGACCCTAATAAGGTTTAAAATGGATACTTGGTCACTGTAGCAAAATAAAAACCATACTTGAAGTCCTAATTTCTCTCTGTTCTCCAGACGCCGGGCCCTGCTGCTTATAAAGTTGTTAATCCAAGCATTTATAGGCAGAAACCTCCACAATACAGCATAAAGGGCCGCAACTTTGTTCCTGAGGGCAACACACAGAAACCAGGCCCAGGAGCATATTTTCCAGAGAGGGTAAGAAAGTTTAACTTTATAAAAAAAAAAAAAAAAAAAAAACATTTTCTATCTATCTATCTATCTATCTATCTATCTATCTATCTATCTATCTATCTATCTATCTATCTATCTATCTATCTATCTATCTATCTATCTATCTATCTATCTATCTATCTATCTAATGTAAAATGTATCTTTTTCTTTCTAGGTTACCTTTACAAGAGCAAAAGCTCCCAGTTTCTCCTTTGGAATGCGTCATTCACAATACATCGCTCCCCTTGTTGTAAATGTGAATGAATAACAGTAACCAAGAATTTGCAACCTTCTCAGAGCACAGGAGCACTGCTCTAACCCACTAGGCCAGTATAAAGAACATAAAATATGTTTTGCTGAAAGAATTTAGGAAAACAGCTATCGATGTATTTTGTTTGCAAAATAGAAGCATTTGTAGTTCACTTTCTCTTAGGAATAAATAGAACATTGATCTATTGGGTCTATAACTATTTTTATGATACCTATGGATACAATTAATGAAACTGGAGTTCCAACTGAAGGAACCTGAAAGTACAAACCTATAATTTATTGCAAAGGAGATTTTTTACTAAGAAGATTGTATGATTTAAGGTTTTCTAGACAAGAAGTTTTATGGGAAGACAACCCATTAGGAAGTGATCACAAATTATGTTTTCTTCAGCAGCTATTTTACCATTCAAATGATCATCACAGTGATGTGACATTACTTTGTAAGGCAGATCTTACATCTGTGAATACATTTCAAAGTATACTTCATTGGGAAGCTCTAGAATGATACATTAATTGATTGTAATTATGATAAATATAACCTTACTGTAAACCACATGATTCTTCTTTTCACAGAATGATCTTAAGCTGTCTGGAGAGTGAGAACTACATGTCAAAATGCTAATTCTGGTTAAATAATAGGCAAATAAACATGTCCAGGGTTAAAGTAACTTATTTGATCTTCTGATAAGGCTGTGTTCTGGGCCTGCAAGCTGAAGGACCCCAAAGGCTTTTCTCTCTGAGTTATTTCCATTTTGAAACCTTGCATGAAGTTTTTTCCAGAAAGAAAGGAAAAGATTGTGCTAGTACTTTTATGGAGCTCTGTTTGACTAACAATACTGAAAACAAAGCTCTCTCGATTCAATGTGACACTATTGTTTTATAATGTTTCTTTCTGTCAAATATGAATATAGATCTCCCCAATCAAGAAACTTCTAAATTATTGTTTTCATAGACATTAGAATGATATTTATTTACTTTTACTTTAATATAGCTCTGTGATATTTTTATCTATGTAGGTAATTTACCATATATATGCATGTATAGTTCTTTGAAACAGAACAGGAATATAAAGCCCAAAAAGGTTGATCCTTCTTTATACCCATATTCCGAGGTGTCAAACGTATTAATGTTTATTACTCAAATAGAAGTATAAATAAATGCTACTGTTAAGAAAAAATGGAGAAGTTAGAGTATCAACTTAAACTTTTTACTTAAGTAAAAGTGTAAATGTACCAGTTTTAAAACTACCTAAAGTAAAAAAGTAAAAGTAACGCAGGAACAAATGTTAACGACTGATGCTTTAAACTGTTAAACCTATAAAAGGAAAATGTTTCTTCAATTCTGGATCATAACTTCCTTAGACTTAGTTTTTTTAACTAAAGGTTACATTGTCAAATTTAACTTTGCATCATCTTAAAAAAATAAATAAATAAATAAATTATTTTGGTATGTGGTGAACAAGCTGATGCAGTACCGAGTCCAACCACTAAGAAATGAATTGTCTGGATTAAAAAATATATATATATGTTTTTTTGTTTCTTTTGTAATACCAACCGGCCATATCGAAAATTTAAATGGAACAACACTAACTATCTATCTATTTAAATATAAGGAGTAAAAGGTAGAGATTATTGCAAAAAATAAATAAAATAAAAAATTTAAGGAGTAAAGTAAAAAGTTGTTTAAAAATAGTTTCTACAGTAAAGTATAGATGGCCAAAATTTCTATTTAAGTAAGATAACAAAGTATTTATACTTTGTTACTTGACACCTCTGTCCGTACTGCGAGTTTTTTGTCCCCGGAATGAAATTCTAGTGTATTTTCAGGCAGGCATTTGTAAGGACAACTTCAAAGAGATCAGTGGTCTTTAAGGCGTCCCTGTTGCATAGAAACGCATCGTCTGGGACGGTAACCTAACAATTCTCCCATAACGAAAATTTAAATGGAACAACACTAACTATCTATCTATTTAAATATAAGGAGTAAAAGGTAGAGATTATTGCAAAAAATAAATAAAATAAAAAATTTAAGGAGTAAAGTAAAAAGTTGTCTAAAAATAGTTTCTACAGTAAAGTATAGATGGCCAAAATTTCCATTTAAGTAAGATAACAAAGTATTTATACTTTGTTACTTGACACCTCTGTCCGTACTGCGAGTTTTTTGTCCCCGGAATGAAATTCTAGTGTATTTTCAGGCAGGCATTTGTAAGGACAACTTCAAAGAGATAAGGGGTCCTTTAGGCGTCCCTGTTGCATAGACACGCATCGTCTGGGACGGTAACCTAACAATTCTCCCATAACGAAAATTTAAATGGAACAACACTAACTATCTATCTATTTAAATATAAGGAGTAAAAGGTAGAGATTATTGCAAAAAATAAATAAAATAAAAAATTTAAGGAGTAAAGTAAAAAGTTGTCTAAAAATAGTTTCTACAGTAAAGTATAGATGGCCAAAATTTCTATTTAAGTAAGATAACACAGTATTTATACTTTGTTACCTGACACCTCTGTCCGTACTGCGAGTTTTTTGTCCCCGGAATGAAATTCTAGTGTATTTTCAGGCAGGCATTTGTAAGGACAACTTCAAAGAGATCAGGGGTCCTTTAGGCGTCCCTGTTGCATAGAAACACATCGTCTGGGACGGTAACCTAACAATTCTCCCATAACGAAAATTTAAATGGAACAACACTAACTATCTATCTATTTAAATATAAGGAGTAAAAGGTAGAGATTATTGCAAAAAATAAATAAAATAAAAAATTTAAGGAGTAAAGTAAAAAGTTGTCTAAAAATAGTTTCTACAGTAAAGTATAGATGGCCAAAATTTCTATTTAAGTAAGATAACAAAGTATTTATACTTTGTTACTTGACACCTCTGTCCGTACTGCGAGTTTTTATTCCCCGGAATGAAATTCTAGTGTATTTTCAGGCAGGCATTTGTAAGGACAACTTCAAAGAGATCAGGGGTCCTTTAGGGGCCCTTTAGGGGTCCTTTAGGCGTCCTTGTTGCATAGAAACGCATCGTCTGGGACGGTAACCTAACAATTCTCCCATAACGAAAATTTAAATGGAACAACACTAACTATCTATCTATTTAAATATAAGGAGTAAAAGGTAGATTATTGCAAAAAATAAATAAAATAAAAAATTTAAGGAGTAAAGTAAAAAGTTGTCTAAAAATAGTTTCTATAGTAAAGTATAGATGGCCAAAATTTCTATTTAAGTAAGATAACAAAGCATTTATACTTTGTTACTTGACACCTCTGTCCGTACTGCGAGTTTTTTGTCCCCGGCATGAAATTCTAGTGTATTTTCAGGCAGGCATTGGTAAGGACAACTTCAAAGAGATCAGGGGTCCTTTAGGCGTCCTTGTTGCATAGAAACGCATCGTCTGGGACGGTAACCTAACAATTCTCCCATAACGAAAATTTAAATGGAACAACACTAACTATCTATCTATTTAAATATAAGGAGTAAAAGGTAGAGATTATTGCAAAAAATAAATAAAATAAAAAATTTAAGGAGTAAAGTAAAAAGTTGTCTAAAAATAGTTTCTACAGTAAAGTATAGATGGCCAAAATTTCTATTTAAGTAAGATAACAAAGTATTTATACTTTGTTACTTGACACCTCTGTCCGTACTGCGAGTTTTTTGTCTCCGGAATGAAATTCTAGTGTATTTTCAGGCAGGCATTTGTAAGGACAACTTCAAAGAGATCAGGGGTCCTTTAGGGGTCCTTTAGGCGTCCCTGTTGCATAGAAACGCATCGTCTGGAACGGTAACCTAACAATTCTCCCTCAGTGACAAACTAGATTAGAAACCATTTTCTAGTAAACAACACTCGTTCAAACAGTGCAGTCATTGTTAGTTTTTTAAGTCAGCTTTTGGTTGGGTTGTTACATCCTAAATCGTCATGACAAGTGAAACGTAATGATCGAAGTCAAACCTTAGCTTGAAACCAGTAACAACAGCACGCGCGCTAGTCAGTCCGTGTTGTTCTAATATGGTAAAATAGAAAGCGCTGAAGCGGAAAAAAAAAAGCGCTAATGAAGCTGACTGACACGATGGTAAGGGCTGCTAACATTTAGCAGGCTAACTAGCGGCTTTACATCAACACTGACTTTGGGGTTACACCTGGTCGTCATCTTTGATACGAGAAATAACCAAGGAAGCGGTAGGAAATGGCTGGCAGCATATCTGAAGTGGACCAAAATAAATACGATACAGACGAACAAGTGAAGATCATCTGCCTTGGAGACAGCGCTGTTGGTAAATCAAAGTGAGTCTCAGCTGAAATCTGACTTTTTTTCTCTTTTCAAATCTCCTGAGATGTTATGTCGTGTGTCTTTTCTCCACAGGCTGATGGAGCGGTTTCTCATGGATGAGTTGTATCCTTCTGTTAATTATACATTTAATATACGCCAACATTCCTGCTCTCCAGATCGTTAAAGATCTTTAACACTTTCTGCAGTCGTCCACAGCAGATGTCCACATATGCTTTGACTCTGTACAAGCACACGGCGACAGTAGGAAACAAGACAGTCACAGTTGGTGAGCTTTTGATCTCGGAAAAATAGTTTTAGCTGATTGGAAGATCCCATTTTAAGAGTGGCTTCTCATATGATCCACAGATTTCTGGGACACTGCTGGTCAGGAGAGGTTTCAGAGTATGCATCCTTCATACTATCACAAAGCTCATGCCTGCATCATGGTGAGACACAATAAAAAAAAGAACATTATTTTCATTGTTTATTTAATTTAAATAACTAATTCCTTTCATAAATCGGTCTACATGTGCTTTATGACATCAGATAATGCAGCTGTCCAGAGCTGGTGCTGTCAGGTTTGATGATTACAGGGTTTTACTTGTTTAACGTAAAGACGTTTCCTATTTATTTCCTCAGGTCTTTGATGTTCAAAGGAAGATCACATATAAGAATTTAGCCAACTGGTATAAAGAGCTGAGAGAGTACAGACCTGAGATTCCCTGTTGTGTGGTAGCCAACAAAATTGATGGTAAGTCTGGTTGTTAAAGAAAAACTCAGCTATTTCTTGTTTTCATGACCAGGAAAGTGATTATCAGATTAAAGTGAGAATTTTATTTCTCCCCTCTGCAGCCGACTTGAAGGTCACACAGAGAAGTTTTAGCTTTGCAAAGAAACAAGGCCTTCCATTTTACTTTGT